CAGGATATAGTAAACGCATTCAGTGTGTTTTTCAGCAGCGTCTATGTCACTCACAAGCCCCATAATAATGCCTCACTAAATCATAGTAATTTATTTTTCCATTTTCATCCAATTGAGGAAAATGAAGTCAGGAAGGCCATTAAATCACTAAAGGATAAGATGACATCAGATCTAGATGGCATCCCGTCCTTTATAGTCAAAGATTGTGTGGGAGTGTTTGTTGGTGTTCTAACTTTATATATTTGTCTTACAACAAAAAGATTTCCAGATATTTGGAAGATCGCTAAGGTCTGTCCAGTGTTTAAGTGTGGGGATAAGTCAAATATTGAGAATTACAGGGCATCTCTATATTATGCATGTTCTCGAAAGTCTGTACAGTCGCATTTACACTACCGTCCAGCGTCAGCTGTCATTGCATCAACACGGATTTGTCGCTAATCGCTCAAAAACCACAAATCTATTTATAATAACGCAGTACCTCTCGGAAGCCATTGTTCGTAATGAGCAAGTTGACGTAATTTATACCGACTTTTCGAATGCTTTCGATAAAATTAACCACAAAACTTTATTAAATAAGTTAGGTGTACTTGGTTTCACAGATGATGCTAGGGAGTTGATGAAATCTTACTTATCCGATCGTAGACAATTTGTTAGCTATAATGGCTTCCAATCTGAGACCTATTTGGCACCTTCTGGAGTTCCTCAGGGGTCCAACCTGGGACCATTACTGTTTTTAATATTTATTAATGACCTCTGTGACTCAGTTGAACGCCTATGCTTTGCTGACGACCTGAAAATTTATTCGCAGATAAATTCTCCTGACGATTGTATCAAGCTACAACACCAATTAAATTTTGTGATGTCTTGGTGTGTGGAAAACAAGTTGGAGCTTAATGTGAGGAAGTGTAAAATAGTCAGCTACACCAGGAAAATTAATGTTTGCGAATATCCGTACTCTATTGATGGGTCTGTGCTAGAAAGATGCTCTGATGTACGTGATTTAGGTATGATCAAAAGTTAACTTTTAGTCAGCATATAAATAAAAAAGCATCAGAAGCATTGGCGGCTTATGGTTTCATAGTAAGGAATTGCAGGAATTTTCATAACATAAAGTCTATTAGCTATTATATTATGCTTATGTTAGATCCAAAGTCGAATATTGTAGTATTATTTGGAGCCCTTACGATGAATGCTATAGCACAGCTATTGAAGTTTATGAAGTTTGTTCTGTTTAGGATTGATGGGACATATCCAGAGAGAGGTACAAGTAATGAGGAACTATGTAGTCGCTTAGACATGTTGACTTTGAAAAAACGTAGGTACTGTGCCTCAATAATATTTGGCTACAAAATGATCAACAATTTAATTGATTGCCCCATGATCCTAGAACAGATCAAGTTTCGTACTCCAACGTTTGCATCTCGCAATCATAAAATATTCGGGCTTCCTAGAGCTAGGACAAACGTTCTTCTCAAGTCACCGTTATATGTAATGTGCTCTAACTTAAACAGAATTGGATGTTACTGTGATATATTTACGACAAATGTTAATTACCTGCTAAAGGCAGCTAAGGCTTATTCGGACCAATAGCTCATGTTACAAATTTATACCTGTGTTGCAATTGTTGTTTTCTTTTCGCTTTTTTCGCTTTTTTTTGCTTTTGTATTATGTTTATTAATTGTCCTATAAATAGGAAACTCTTGGACAATAAAGCTATTATTATTATTATTACTATTATTATTATTATTATTATTAAAATCTAAGTATTTGATCGTAGACTTTAGCAATGTGATTTTGACTTTGTTCCAGTTGCAGAGTCATAGCGAAAAAAACGAGCTGGTATGCAATGCGTGATTCTGTTTAGAAGAAGAAATGGTTTGATGATTGCTTTTTGCAAGCAAAATGATAAACTATTTTGGAAATTTCAAAAGGGTCGTCTTTTCTTAGTGTGCGCTATATATATTCTAGGTCTTTCTTTCTAGTTCTATTGAACCATGAAAGATTCCAAAACCGCGTAAGCTCTTGGCAGTTTGGTACTCAGGTCATTGGTAGTGGCTTTGTATACTGTATGAGGCACCGACAGTTCACAACTCGAGATGGTGTAATAAATGCGGTCCCGCAATTTTTTAACCCCAAATCCAGGGAGCTCTACAATACCGGCATACAAAAATTGGTTCCACTTTGGAAAAAGCTCATTGAATGTGATGGTAATTACTTCGACGAATAAATAGTGTCTTATTGTTTCTCAATAAAAGTTTATATTTTTCTAGTAAAAACCGCACGAGCTTATTTGGTTACCATATACGAAATACGCATGTAACACTGATGGATATCGAATAATCAGCCTAATGGCATAATTACTCGGCACTTGTTCTAGAGAATAAGTAATTAGGATATTTACGTTCATTTATTAAGAGGTGTAATTTTTTTAACCACACCCAGAGTGGACCGAAAAGCGGAATAGCATGAAACTCCGAAGTCTGAGCGTAATTTTTATATCCCCTCCTACCTCTCCCTCTCTCTCTTTCTCTGTGATTAATTCCGTACCACTCTACCGATTTTAGAAAATACACAGTACAGCGCTGACTGTTAAAATTTCACCTCACTACCTTACTCCCAAAACTTCACTATAAACAATAAAGCGAGACACCGGTTGCTTGAACTGCACTTCTTAGAGAAACACTAAGATGGACAGACTGACCAAACTGCAGAGCAAACAGGACTGTCTCAGATTTGCTGACGCATAATTTGTTGCATTAAATTGTTACATTATACAGTACTCGAGAGTTCTTGTCTTTTAAGCTAGTTGTGGCCTCTTGTCTGCATAGAAATAACGGTTATATGTTACACACTATGAGGACAGCATCAGAGTGTCGAATCGTATCTGTTAATCAGTCGCGTAAACTGCGCGAGTTCGAATCCCATCCCAAGAGAAAACTGTGATTGTCGGTAGGTGATATACGATCTCAAACTTACAAACGTGTAGGTACTACCTGGCGGATGTCTAGCGCGGGGCCGGAATGTGTGCATACACGCATGGCCACGTGTTCCCTCGCTAAAGTCAGTGTGACGTGCCTCCGTTTCCTCATAACCACACGGTACCCTGTCAGGCCATCGCACAGTGTGTTCCTTTATAGGGATCAGGGACAAAATTCGATATCTTAAAAACTAGTGGTCCTATTTGAATTCTGTAAACGCAGGGCGATTACTTATTTGAGTAGCTTTCTAAAGTATGACAAAAATTATTTAAAATAATAAGAAGGGGTGGGGGAGCAGGCGGGATGCATTTCGCATAAATCGTTTTTTTTTTGTAAAAGTCAAAATATTAGGTTGATGATCTCGAATAAATTGGGATAAGGCAGGATATTATTATAGCATTCTTAGGAGAGACAAAAAAGTCACGCTTTTATTTTTCAAGATCTTTACCGAATGATTTAAAAGATAATGTAGCCAACTTGTGGCGGGCGCAATATGATTTATTAAATTTGTCTATCTATTTGAAAAAATGATAAGAATAATTCAAATAAAGAATAGATCTGTATAATTTGAAATTGATATTTAGGTTTTTATTTAAAAAAATATATTTAACAAAATAACAATTACTTAGTAGGTAATGTATGAAATAATAATATAAACTATATTAAAAAAATAACACCAAATATACCCATTCTAATCGGAATAGGATTTCTTGCTCGGTGCTGTGTCATTCGTTATTGTACCTAAGTCAATACCTAAATCATCATTTTCTTGCTTTTTTCAATAGCTCTGAACTGCCTCGTTGCATTTCTTATATTTTTTTGAGCTCACCTTTCTTTTTGAGGATATAAAAGGATCAGAAGTAAGTAAAAGAACACGCATGAGATCCTTATTCGTATCTGTTCTTGAACATTTTCTGGTGTGAGATAATCGATGTTTCCTAACCTCTTTATGGCGTGCCTCAAGCGCATCCTCCGACAGTTCTCCAATGGGCAAACAAAATGCATCAATTATCTCACACTCATGAACAAGGACCTTATGTACCGTGTTTGGCATGTTGTACCACTTATACAGGTGGATATACAAATTTCTTGCTTCTTCCAGCAGTGACGCAAACTTTTCCATATCAATCGCGCAACCACTAGCTAACACTCCTAAGATGATCGCAAATTTCTCGATTAATTCCCTGTCTACCCCTGTGATATATGAACTTGTTTGTGGATTGTGGAAAAAAATTCTGGCCGTATTGCCGTCATTTGAGGAGCCATACCCGGGTTTTGGTTTGTCAACTATTAGAGACAGCTTGGCTCTGAACTCTGCTTGGATTCGTTTTTTGTTTGCTTCGACTATAGCTTTCTTTTCAGGCCCACGAACCTGCCAAGATTTAATTGGCAGGCGGTATCTAATATGGAGTAAGCATTCAAAAAAACGAATCCAGCAGTGTAAAGTTGACAAACCAAACCGGTAATTGTCTACGTTAGGAGGACGGTTAATCCCTGCTAACGTATTCATGTCCTTGGGTGTGGCTCCGCAAATGATACACTTCATAGTTGAATTTGTCTCTGATAGAACGTTTCCAACACTGCCGTCCAACATTGTTAACATCATATCAACTTCAATTATCTTCTTTTGTTTTAATCTCAATAGGAATCAAATTTTCAATTTTTGTTATTATTTCCTTTTCCGTATTCCGCACTAAATCAGCATTTTCCTTTTTAAATGATCGGCCTACAATATAAAGTAGATGAAGGGCTCTCATTTTTCCACAATACCTTATTCGTTTCCATATCAATCAATCTGAGTGGCGTCATTGCTACAAGAAACAGAAATTCGTCGGTGTTTTCTAAATCAGAAAATTTCTGCTTATATTGGCTATGCCCAAAACTGCCATCAAATCCCCACTTGCATATCACTTTAATCCGGCAATCTCTCTCTTCAAAATTTATTATTTCAAGGATACTTCCAGCTGTTTTCTGTAGAAGTTCTTGCAAATCAACTTCTGCAGAAATTTCAGTAATAATAAATTATGAAGGGAGGAAAGCATTTTTTGTTTTCTGTAATCCTTTATAACTAGGAAGGCAGTTCTGGGCCTTACCATTAATAACAGACCTAAGTAGCAAATACTTTCTTACGGATATATCCAAATCTACCATAAGGGCTAAAGCTTCAGCTGTACTAAAACTAAAAATTTGTGGCGAGACCTCACTGTAATTTCTTCCAGAAACGACATTTACAGCAAATTGAAGTTCATTTGCAGATCTGTCTGTGGTTAGTTCGGCTACACGTCTTCGTTTTGTTTTCTTGGATGCCTGTTCAAATGGCACCCGTGGCCGTCCAACTGAGCGACAAGGAGGTTCTTGTTCCTCATCCGAAGATGTGTTTTCTTCAGAATCATTATTTATTCTATATATAATCTTGTCTAATCAATATACCTGATTTTGTAAAAGTCGATTCCGAGATTGTCCTACTTTCTGCCATTTATTTGCCATTTTCAACCCAAACAACTGGCTGCATTTCATAATATTACTTTTACGATGTTTGGAAGGTTCATCTGTTATATCAATAAGAGATAATATCTTTTCATAAACTACTTGTTTTCTATATCCTCTCGGTGCTTCCACACATCAATCAAATCTCTATTTCTGACAATAGCACCATGTCCTAAAAAAAATTATATCTCCCTTAGATGTGGCATGACGTGATTTAAACTTTTTATCAAAACTTACTATGGACAGATAAACAATAAATAAAAAAAAATTTAGGGTGATGGGAGGTGATTTTTGTAGAACTCTAAACAAAGTCAAAAGTTTAAAAAAAAATAAAAAAATCGATAATAGTCACTTTAACTTAAAAAATTATCTAATTATAATTATATTTTAAATAAATCTTTACATCAATATAATGTACTTACCAGCCTCATTACCAGCCATATTGGAAAAGTTAAAATATTTAAATATTTCGAAACAAAATTTATATCTTTCCCGAGCAATAAAACAGAGAGATTTTTCGCCTTCTTGACAGGTCTCGACATGTCTAACTTTAAAGTTGCTAAAATAGGTAAATCGCAGCCAACTTGATTAGAGTACTATACTTACGTGTTGCAGTGACTATTTATCTATCCAATGGTGTAATAAAAGCAACAGAATTCTAATGTCAAAAATTATGTTTTTGAGTAATTTTGTCCATTGGGCGCCACACTGAGCATCGTGGCGATTTAGGTAAAAAAAGAAGTAAGATATCCTCACTATGATCCTGCCTCTAGGACGTTGGCATGGTCTTCCGCGTAGCTTGCTTGTATTTTCCGGAATAACACGGTCAGAGGGAGTGGAGGGGGAGTGGAAACGTGCCCGGAACGTGGTATCCTTCCCCGCCCCAAACAAGTGCGAATCAGCAAACATTTGCCTATCGGCCTGCATACAGTTAATTCGCCCTTGCGCGTTTCCCTAATACCTCACGTTCCGTATTTCCTAAATTCCGACAAGCTAGCAGCTTCCAGCCAGTGTTTACCGTAATGCACTCTCCCGTTGTCTGGTTTCTAGTTTAAACAGGAAGTTTAGATTTCAGATCCGGATGAAAATCAGATACCTAGAATTCGAGATATTATATGGTTATATTGTAGAGTAGCACTTAATTAATTATAGCCCAGTCTACCAGCTCGAAATTACCAAATGAGGTTCGAAATTTTATTGTCAACACAAGGCGCTTTCAAACGCATGACGAATATTCTCTGCAATATTCTTTGATTATTTTATCTTTTGACTACTTTCGAAGGACTACTCCATTTTTACCAATATATATATAATCGCCTTGTCATGCTATTTGAGCTGACTGCAGCTAGGATATAAGCCCTTAATTGTCTGCTCATCCACTTTTTCTTATTTATTCTGGACGTTATTATATGCAAATTTGCTGTTTTTCAAAAATGAGAGATATAAGAAAAGAAAATCCCTGGTTGGTGAAGGAACAGGCAACAAAATATGCTCCATACAAGAATATTTATTAAAGTGAAAAGGTTGTTACATTATTTTTTATTTCCAGTCATTTGAATTTTATAGAAAATAGAAAATCAGAGCCTAGATGTGAGGCATTGCGACAATGTTTAATGTGTGATGCGTCATTACTAATTTTTTTGTTATGTTGCTAAATTGCACACAACGCGGGACGGTGACGATTTCTCGTACTGCTCCTCAAAGATTTTGAGAACACAAAAAAGCAGGAAAAATCGTAACTCATAACTTTGAACATAAACTGTCTTCAGAAGGGACAAGATATAAATAACCTGTCGGCACAGCTAATATACTTCATTGGCAGCATATTCAGTAATAATTTTCTCACACAGCAAATATTAATATCTTATACACTCGCAGATCAATACTTTTTTGTTTCACATCTTGTCAGAGATGAAGACTACAGACTACTCGGCTGTGCAAAGCATATATGCAACCAACAATGCGTGTAGTAGAGTCATTCCTCCATAGATGGGCACTTACAACGATCCTAGTGAGCAAACGTGGAATGATTGCTTGCACCATAAAATCTACCTAGTCTGCATGATGACATTTTGTAATTTGTTTTGACGTTTTAAATGTTTTTAACCTGCTCTGCTAATAGTTTGAGAATTATCTTACCTCCATGCTCCATATTCTTTTCACATAGCATCAAAATAGCTGAGATTTCAGCAGTACAACTTGACATGTGACTAGATTTGCAAAACATAACCTCAAGGGCGGTACATCGCCATCAACTAACTCATACCTAGATACTTAATTGATAGGGGTGTTATATCCCATATTAGGATACTCCTAGCTCTTCCACCAACTGAAATAATTGCGAAATTCACTTGAAATGCCACTTTTATCAACTGAAATTATCTTTTTAGGATCATAATTATACAGGTTATAAATAAAACAATAAAACAATAAGCGGTCATTTAGGTTCTTATTCTTAGGCATAAGAAATTCAAGAAGATACAACTCTTTCGATATTGTCATAAAAAGTTACACGTAAAATAAAACTTACACTAACAATAAGATATAATATTTTCTACAAACAAAATCATTGTTAGTCGAGAAGAAACGAATATGTACAGGGAGATACAGACTATATAGATATTGCAAATGGGAATACACCAATGTAACAGCCCGAAACATTTTACGGAGTCGAAATATTATGGTAGACCGTAGGTATGGCCAGTCATTCTCCTTTCATTTGCCTTGCCTATCGCATGTCAAATAAATCGTAAATCGTCAAAGGCGATTAGGTCCTTCTAATATTGATAAACAGAAGTGTCGAGTCGCCTCTGGGTCAGCTGGTCGTCAATCCATTGACTGAAAAACGGCACATTTCCATAAACTCCAGGCACTCCATCTTTGCCGCATCCAATGCCCCATGAGACGATCCCCATTTGGAGCATTCTATCCTCCGCGCCAGGTATGGGACAGGCCAAGGCGTTGCCGCCATCTCCTGCGCAGGCGTCCTCTCCATGTTCGCCGCCGGCGCAGATGAAGCTCTCGTGAAGTTCGAAGAAACGGCCCAGGCGAGTTTTGCGCAGGAGGGCTTCGCATTGTTCTCGTGGTACCTGCGAAGAGATCAACTGTTTAGACAGCCAATCATGAGCTGCTTTTTGACTACTCATTAGCAATGTCTAGGCTTGGCCTATCGTCTTAGAGCAACGAACGTAATCATCCCAACTATCCTCTATTCCGGAGGTGCGCCCAACTAGCAAAGTAGTGGTATAAGCTTTTGGTAAAAGAACCGTTCAGCCATAAAAGCTCTCTATTGTTGTTGCCTGAACACCAAAATGCTGGCTTAATGTTGTGTGGAATGCAAATTTGCTTTCTGCAACATATTTGCTCTAAAATGAGGTGTTTAAAATATTCTTATAGCATAGTTATACAACACCTTATAGGGCAAATTTTTAACTGTTGCATAAACGTTTATACAAATATTTTATACGGCATATTTTCAAGTTAGTCAAAATGGTTGTGTTGTGGCACCCATGCTAGCGTCTATAAAAAAACCCGAGCCTTGTTGCTTTGCTATGCAATTTACTACACTAGCCAACAAATTGCTCCCAACGGAAGCACTTATACAACTGTTACATATGCTAAATATGTTGGTAAACAACTTCACCATAATCTAACTTTCTGCTGTCGTATTTTTGTTAAAATGCCATAACCAATGTTTTAAGACAACGCATGCATATCGGTTCAAAAGGTTTTATCAACTGTTCAAACAGAAGATATAGATCTGGTACAAATTCTGGGTAAATCAATCGACTCTGTCGGTATTTCATTTCAGACATTTGTCAAATTGTTGCATAACACCTGCAGGCAACACCAAAGTATTCTAATAACCTAAAGACAACATGGACGATGCCATGATTCTTCACAACCACTCGCCATATTGGGCAAACATTTATTCCTCTATTTAATATTAAATAATTATGTTTCAGTTCGAAATTACAGATATAAAGTGATAAACATTAGTGTAATTGTGTCTAAATATAGGATTTGTGGAAGATTTAACAAAGATAAGTTCAGTTTTCCATCTTAAAAATCTATACATACTTTTGATCATTGTCAAAATATGAATCAGATACGAAGCCCGTAGAAATTGGGTAACTAATTTGCACGATAATTACAATAAAATTTTGCTGCGCAAATAATTCAATAGCCCTATATCAAAGTGTAGAAGTTTATCATATACCTGTGTATGAAATTCACAATGGCCGATATGCAAGTAAACAAGATGACTGTAATGTGTTAGTTATATATTCTTCACTTCGTCTATACAATACATAGTAGATAGTTTGGTTGCAATAAAGTAGAATCACGTAAGAGAATAGTTGTATAGTTGACAAAAACTGAATCTTGCAGTGACGCAAATGTCCTATAGCGACTGCAAGAGGCTTACACTTTTGTTTTATAACTTTTACCTGCAGCCCTTATATACAACCTCTTAAAAGACTGAAGTCTCCTATTAGGTGTGCCCATTCCGCTTGATAGCTGTTCTAAGAGGGTTTTGCTAATGTTCTTACAGTATACAATGCTGCTTAAGGAATACTGTATAATCATTCTTGCAACTCTAATAGGAGTGATAATTGTTAGTTGGGCGGTCATCTATCACCAGAATCGACAACAGCGGAGAGCGCGTAGCTGCGATTTTTTGGAAATATAAAGATCTTAGTTCATGCTGAAGAGCTCAGTCAGCATATGATCGCTAGATGGCTGACGATTCTGGCTGACTCAGCTATTTACCGCGAACTCAGATCTTTACAGATCCAAAAAATGGTAGCTAAGCGTTCTCGTCAGTGGTCGATTCTAGTGATAGATGGCGATTTGCGCTGTCTTATTTAGAAGAGATAAAGTTCTTCCGATTAATTTGGTACCAGGAAATGACGAAATGGTGATCTCGCAGAGATATCGGGATCCTAGGGTCACATCCATTTTTAGTGTCAAAATCAAATTAAAATAGAACAGTATGGGAGTAATTCCAACTCTGTATCAAATTGTTGCCTATTTAATTTGTTTCATGTAAAAAATTACATCAAGGAGATTGACTCGGCACTGTTTACGCTGAATAATTACTAGCGGAACCCTGGGATGCTAACGCAATGCCGTTTATTGTGAAAAATCGAGAAGGCACTTAATAGATTCGATTTAAGCATCCTATTAAAAAAGCTTGGTTGCTTTGAGTTCTTTGATGATCTTGTGCATTGTTCAACACTTATCTTTTCGATGAGTCAATATGTTGAATGTGAAGGATACCGTTCACCGCTTATGATGCCTACTTCGGGAGTTCTCCAAGACTCGAATCTGGGACGTTTACTCTTTCTGTTATACATAGACGAATCTTGTTTTGCATTGTTCAAAGTTACTGTATGCAGATGACTTGAAAAATGTATTATTCAATAAAGGTATAATGAAAATATCTTAATGCTCCCAAGCCAATCATCCCAAATTAAATGCTCAAGCTGCTTTGTTGAATCCGTCACAAGACAACAGAACATTCTGATTTTTATTACCGTGGAAACTTAACCCTCAAGCGCCAAGAACAAATCGGTGATTTAGGAATTCTGTTGAATCAAAAAATGTTCTTCCCATACCAAGTTATGCACGCAGCAAGTTAGAGTACGTTGCCTTGATTTGCTTCCCACACTCTACAACATATACTGGGTGGCGCATCGAAAACGAAACAGACGCATTTACTGGCAGCTCAGTTTTTTTTTTGAAAAACGGTCAGACCCGTCGATTTTGTTTTCGAGGGGGACACAAGGTTCCCAAAAAATCATGTTAACACGTGCATCCCCCTGGGCAGGGGTGACACCAACCCTAAAATCTTAAATGGAAAGAGGGGTCGAGTGATACCTTATTTCAAAGGTCTTTCAATTCCCTTTATAATGATATAAAATTAATGTACTTCAGTTCAGTAGTTTTGAAGATTTATTGATTTGAAGCAGACTTTAATAGGTGCATCAGATTAGTTTGTACTACTTTCAGAAGAAATTTGACTAAAAGAATTTACTCAATAAGTAAATGCTTTTCTTCACTACGCCCATGGTTTGTTTATAATTTTTTTGTTGAAAATGGGTATTTGAGCGTTTTTTTTTGTGGCACTAAAGTTATTTCTTGAAGAAAGATAAGGAAATATCTCGTACTTATTTTAAATACTGATTTAGTACATAGTTTGCGATTGATTTGACCAAACTTTGTTGCTAAAATAACTTGTTACGCTTTATTAAATTAACCATGGTATACTCCACACCAGAAAGAGTTGAAATTATCGAAATATTTTTCGGAAATAATCAGTGCGCTAATAGAACAGCAGAAGTATACAAGATATGTTCTAGAACTTGTAGCTAAATTTCGGGAAACTGGGTCAGTCGCCAATAAAAACAGCAATACTGAAAATCCCATAAGGAACGAAGCAATAGAAGTGGGGGCTTTAGGGCAAGTTTATGTAGATCCTACGTTAAGTACCCGCAAATTGGAGACTGTGTGTGATGTTAGTCGACGTACTGTCCAACGGATTCTAAAGGCCCATAGTTTTCATCCGTATAAAATTCACCTGGTACAAATCTACGCTACTCAGGAAACAACATTAGAAGACCTGCGACAAAGAATTGTGAACGAGTGCCTTCAGATTACTCCTCAAATATTGCAAAATGTGCGGCAACGTTTTGACCAAAATCTTTATTATTTCATGGAGAGTCATGGTGGCCATTTTCAACATTTACTTGCATAACGGGTCAGTTCACTGTTCATTTTTAAATTACTTTGCTGCCAAATGTGTTGATCTCCACTAATGATGTATTAGTTTTATTTAAGCTTTAAATCAATACATCTTCAAAACTGAAGTACATTAATTTTAAATTATCATAAAGGGAATTGAAAGAGCTTTAAAATAAGGTATCACTCGACCCCCCTTTCCTTTTAAGATTTTGGGGGTGGTGTCACCCCCGCTTCGGTGGCTGCACATGCTAACGTGATTTTTTGCCAAACTTGTGTCCCCCTCGAAAACAAAATCGACGGGTCCGAGCGTTTAAAAAAAAACTGAGCTGCCACTAAATGCGCCTGTTTCGTTTTCGATGCGCCACCCTGTATATTAGTGAGATCGAACATGTTCAGGGAAAATTTTCGAGTTAAAACTACATGTTAAGTGTATGGGTGTACTGCCTGAGCGAGGATTTAATTACTTTTTTCTGCCTAATGAAGCAACTTTTATTTCTCTGGATTCTTCTAATAACAGCCCTTTTGTACAAACCGTATCATAGGAATATAATATGTATGTGAATTTTTGCTACATAAAATTCCCTTTACCGTGCTGGAACCAATATTTTGCGTAGTCACCTGTTTCAACCATTTGTAACAATTTTAACTCAATAAGGAACGCCTGGGACATCAATTTCTCTCCTCTCTCGTTGGTTTACAAATATGTTACTTTTTCGACTATCCTTTTGTTATCCATTTGTCTATTTTTATATAACATTACCTTTCTGTCCTATTAAAAACAAATGTTCAGCTGATTTTAAGCATTCTCTGTTATTGGGTGCCTGTTGGAGATAAATGTCTATCTACCAAAGAGGTAACAAGGCTGACTGTTTAAAAGACGGATGGACAAGATGGCAAGACATCAAAAGAGGCAATTTTGAATGAAAGTAAGTATGGATGAATCTATATGGAAGAAGAAGAATAAGACTTTGTTGAAGGCAACAGTTACTAGAATAACTGACCTTCTTTACTAAAGGTGTCCTTACCAGAGGAAGATCAACCTTTCGCAACACATGTGAATGCAACCCGCTCTTCGAAGATTTTCCATAGCCTCCTGCAACGCACATGACGTCTTCCATTTGTAGATCCGGTGGTGGAAGGCAAATTAGTCCTACGTTTTCAGTCATCCTTGCGGGCTCCATCAAAATAATCAACGCGATGTCATTCCAAAGGGACCTTCTGGCATAGGCGGGATGTATGATGATCTCAGATATCAGGAGGTTCTGCTGCTCTTCTCCAGGTTTTACGTTCCAATCGCCAGCTCGTACCTCAAAAGAAATAGTATGGCGTCAAGTATTTTTGCTCTAACAACGCCGGTTTAAATAATGGATAGATCCAACGTGGACTATACAGTTCCTTGTAATACTTGTAATGAAACATACATTAGTCAAACAGATAGAATGGTTAAAAGATGCGTTACGCCTTATAATAGTAAGATTTCACGTAGTATCAATAGTTTCAGTCTTGCATAGCGTTCCATTGAAATTCGTCATAAAGTCAATTGAAATGGTGCCTAGGTTTTTGACAATAAGTCAAAAGGGTTTTTCTAGAGATGGTTTACATCAATAAATGCACTAATGATGTTAAAAAAGTGATTCGAGAAGAGAGATTTGCAAACATTACTTTTTCCCAAGATAATAATAATAATAATATTTATCCACTCAATGTACAAAGATAACAAACAATATGAGTAAATAGATATGAAATCAAAACAGGCCCAAAAGAAGGCATCGCCTGTACATGGACCAATAATTTTAAGTTGCAACTGTAGAATGCAAATGACAAAAAAGGAAAAAATTAGCTACAGTAGATTATGTATTTACTTGATGTTCGTATTTATGAGTTTATGAATTTCAGTCCTAGATATACAATGTAGCCACTTCTTTTAATTTCTTTTGAAACAATTTCCGAAACGTAAATCTTTAGGTATAATTTCATAAAATTTTGGCGCTAAATAGAGATATGACCGCTGCATTATAGATTTATGCGGCTGAGGAACTACTGTGCCACGAATTTTGTACCTTGTATAATGATTATGTTTAATTTTTTGGTCGGTGTTTACAAATTTATGGTAGTGACTGATACTGTGTAAGAAATAAAGCTGTCTTATATCATACATCCGAACATCTGCGTATAATTTGTCAGTGGGATAAAGTTTCGTTTTTTAAATATCATTTTTAGAATACTTTTATGAAAAACATCTAAATTATAGATATGTGAGGAACATGCAGCTTCCGATGCTAATATACCATATGTGAGATGATGCTCAATCAGTGCATGGTATAATGTTCGAAGATATTTTTCTGTCAATATATTCCCAAGGTATTTAATTTTGTAGGATACAAATCTAACTTTCTTTAAAATATAATTGACAGGGATGTCCCATCGTAAGTGAGGATCCAAGACCACTCGAAGGTATTTTATGTTGGGCACTCCCACATTCTCTTTTCAACTTTGTCTTTCACGTGCTTAATACAGTTTTCCCATTTTGGGCTGCTATTAATTCTATTGCTTCTTTGAAAACTCCTTTGAGGTCACAAAATTTAAAAGTTGTATTGTGATTAGCTATATAATTTTTAACCTCTGCCCATATGAGCTCAATGGGATTGAGCTCGCAATGGTATGGAGGTAAACGGAGCACAGTTTCATTTTGACTTGCTGCCATTTCGTCAATGGCGTATTTTTGATATTCCGCCTTGTGATCCTTGACAATTCTTAATAATTGCACTTTCAGCATTGCTTCTTCAAAGTTGATATTTTTCGAGCGGAGCCAATTTTGAACATCAACAAGTAAACAGTAAACAAATATAAAATCTAAACAGGCCCAATAGAAGGCATCGCCTGTACATGGACCAATAATTTTAAGTTGCAACTGTAGAATGCAAATGACAAAAAAGGACAAAATTAGCTACAGTAGATTATGTATTTACTTGATTTTCGTATTTATGAGTTTATGAATTTCAGTCCTAGATAAAGAATGTAGCCACTTTTTTAAATTTCTTTTGAAACAATTTCCGAAACGTAAATCTTTTAAGTCTTTAGGTATAATTTCATAAAATGTTGGCGCTAAATAGAGATATGACCGCTGCATTATAGATTTATGCGGCTGAGGAACTACTGTGCCACGAATTTTGTACCTTGTATAATGATTATGTTTAATTTTTTGGTCGGTGTTTACAAATTTATGGTAGTGACTGATACTGTGTAAGAAATAAAGCTGTCTTATATCATACATCCGAACATCTGCGTATAATTTGTCAGTGGGATAAAGTTTCGGTTTTTTAAATATCATTTTTAGAATACTTTTATGAAAAACATCTAAATTATAGATATGTGAGGAACATGCAGCTCCCGATGCTAATATACCATATGTGAGATGATGCTCAATCAGTGCATGGTATAATGTTCGAAGATATTTTTCTGTCAATATATTCCCAAGGTATTTAATTTTGTAGGATACAAATCTAACTTTCTTTAGAATATAATTGACAGGGATGTCCCATCGTAAGTGAGGATCCAAGACCACTCGAAGGTATTTTATGTTGGGCACTCTATTAATTTGCATTTTTTGATCATTAATATTGAAGGAGAAATTTGTGTAATTTGGCAGATGTCTAGCATAAGATCCAAATGGTAAAAAATGTGTTTTAGAGTAGTTAATGCTTCATTTTCTACTGTTAAACCACCGAATAATTTTGATAAAATCATTTTCAATTACATTTTTCAGATCAGACCAGTCAGTGCCTTCATACAATATTGCAGTATCATCTGCAAAACTGGTTATTTTGCCAACACAATTAATTTGGTAAATATCATTTAAATATATATTGAATAATAGCGGACCTAAGACAGTTCCTTGTGGGACACCACACTTAATATACATTTCTTTACTAAACGATCCTGATATATGCACAGATCGTGGGCGATTTGATTGATTTGAATTTTCGATCAGTGAGTACGCGCTTCCTCTGAAACCAATTCTCTCCAATGCTTCTAATAATAATTTGTGATTAACTGTGTCGAAAGCTTTCTTTAAATCAACAAAGATGCAGATTGAAGGGATTCTGTTATCAATATTTTCATGTATTTGATTTACAATTTTAGTTATTGCGTCCGATGTAGCCTTCCCTTCTGTAAATCTATATTGATTTTCACTTAAAATTTTGAATTTTGTGAGGTATCGAATCATTCTAGTAGATAAAACTTTTTCAAAAACCTTTGCTACACTGGATATTATTGATATTGGTCTATAGTTGTTAACATCTGTTTTTGTTCCTGATTTATGTATCGGTATTATATTACCTTTTTTTAAAATTGAGGGATATATGCCAGATTCAAAGCATTTGTTGATTAGGTAAGTGAGTGGTTCTGTTATGTCTTCGGCTATAATTTTCAAATGCTCGCTTTTAATACCATCGAACCCAGGACTTTTTCTATTTTTTAAGGACATAACAGTGGTGTATACTTCACATTGCTCGACTTTATCCAAAATAAATTAATTCAAATAACTTTTTGGAGGCTGAGTATTGAGTACATCTGCTTGTATATTACTTGCTAAATTTTCGCCTATGTCAGTAAAAAAGTGTACAAATCATCGCATATTTGTTGAGTATTTTTTAATACTGTTCCCGAAGTTGTATTTAACTCGGTGACCCACTCTTTTAATTTTGTCTTCCCTCTAGGTACAATACTATATTTGTATCAGTAAATATAAGCTATGTTTTTTCCATATTGTGACCTGGAAAGTTGTTATATTATTATTAATTCAGTGGCAAACCTATGGACTATATGTGTATGAATATCATATTTTGTGTATGTTATGCGTAATATTGCCTGTATTAGACAATACTTAATAATATAATGTCGTTTGTTGATCGCATATCACCTCCCTTTGAGTGAGGTCGTGGCAAATAATTATTCCACACGCCGACGATCTGCACCAGTGCAAAGGAGCGGTCTGGGACGTATACCTGTATCTTTGCCGCCAAGGGGAGAACCGGATTTTGGAGACGTATAAGGCAATTAGCTTCATTTGGACGTTTCCAGTTGGGCGACTGGCGAATGGGGGTAACGGAGATCAGATCTTTCCCGATAATAGGACGTCCTTCATTGATACCAAAGCTATAACATCAATTACCCCTCACACCCTACATACAGCCAATCCTCAATCTTCAAACATATTAAAAATTTTCATGAAAGTAAGCAGAAGTGCACAGTACGCACATTCAGAAAACGACTGAGCATTACGTCAGGGGTTGCTTTAATCAAAAGTATGTTGAATTTTTTGATATCAAGCACTTCAGCGTTGTCATTATTTTCAAATTCTGTTTGCTAAACACTGCGACCAAAATCGTTCCTCTTAGGAGACTCTAAATAACGCTCAATATATTTCATGCCTAACAGAGATACTACCTTGGGCTCACTAACTCCCAACCGTGCATCGATTCTTACATTTACGAAACATGCCAGACAGCTTCGAAAGATGCTTAAAATTATAGAAAGTACTGCTTTGTTGAGAGTCTTACCATTAACAGTGCCGTACGCGTATCTTCGTCATCAACACAATGAGCGGCTGTGATCACGGCACTAGGATGTATCAAAGTGCCTCCGCACTTGTATCTATTGCTGCCGTCTTCGCTACTCCACAGAAATAACACTACCACCCACGGAAGCTCGCCATATTGTGGAGGATCGGAACTATTTAAAAAAAAATGGTGTTAAGTATGATTCTGTCAGCACAAATTTTACCCTCTGCGAAAAAAGTGTAGTCCATCTGGCAACGTCGCCCCTCCACGATACCTAGCCTGGTCATACTTGGCAACGCGGCCACAGCATAGGAAACACTATGCTATACGGAGAAATATGTGACGTCTGCGTAGAATTACTGAGTTTTGAGCGTATAGATATACTAACATCATAACATTAAGATACATCCTCCCATACTCCTACAACCTCGCCCTCAAAATTTTGTACCTCTAAAGCTCTTTTCAAAAAATGATCAGGATCCTGTGAAACGTCAAAAAACAAAGCTTGGGAGGTTTCCATCTTATTTCGTTTTTGGACTTTTTTCCTCCGCTATTGGACCGATTCTCAAAAATCTATCAAATTCCGCTATGAGCGGTTAAAGGATTAGCGGACAGACAGACACACAACATCTAAAAAACATGATATCTCATTTCCGAAAGTTTTCGCGATTACTCCCTCTCCAGTACGCGTGGAAAGTAAAGCGTTGATAAATGCCTATGAGTATCACTGATCCCAATCCGGGCTAACTCATCTAAATTGTGACGGTTCCAGGGTCTTTTGATGATACAGAATGCATATTTTTACCTGGAAAGTATCCTTGGGGCAACTTGTTTATGCTTTTTGTAGCCGCATTCTGTATTCGGGGCAGAAGTTGACTCCTCTATAGGCTTTTGGCAGCAAACGTCGTTGTAGTTCGGACATCTTGCAACTCTAAACAAACCAAATAAAAAAGTGTATAACATACAAATGTCTATCGATAAATGACCTGACCTAACTATTTTGTGAATTTATCATGAAGTGGCTTATTTTATACACCATACAGAGAATACAAAGATGACAATAGAATAGCAAGAAGAGGAAATATGAAGCGAAGAGATTCATAAAAAATTCGTCCAAGTTTTCCTGGACTATTATCTATGCTACGCTGCTTTTTATAAAATGTCCATTCACTGCGTTTCCACAAAGTCAGTGATGCTTTGAAAAATGATATTTGAAAAATGTCACAGAAGATTGCCACACGGTCCAACAGAAATACTTTTCTATCAAGAATATTTATAGGGCAAGAAATCGGGAGATTTTGTATAAGGAAATCCTACTGTTTTTGCGACAGTAATTTTATTGGTTTGATGGTATTGTTAGATTATTTCCTCGTAACGATAAGTTCACAACAACGTTATTATAGGGTTGGAGCATTTGCGGCCATTTAGATAACCGCGTTTGATCGACAAAACTCGAAGACCAACAACTCTACCTAGAAAAAACAATAGATATAATTTTACATGGAATTACATTTTCTAGTTTTTTGCTTCTCTAAGAATGAATTGCACAGTCAACAGATTTCGAGAAATTAAATAGCAAAGGTACATTTTATATTTTGTTTTATATTTTTTTATACCGAAGCAGCCGCGCCGGCAGAAGCTAGAACCGCAGGGCACTGCGGCTGCTATAAGGATCCCAAATAAACTCTTTTAGCCCGGTTTTTAAAGTACCCAAGGTTAGCAGAACTGGGAAAAACATTCTTTTGTAGATGGTTCCACAGTCTCGACACCCTAGGGACAAAGGAGCGGTCGTATCGGCCAGTTCTCGCAGGATGGAAGGCGGAAGTCAGGCGGGCCTGTTTGGCAGACACGCCGCGTTTATCTGAGAAAATGTCAAGCTGTTTCGACATTTTGACGATTCTTGAAGTACAAGGAGAGTAATAAAGTTAAAAACAGTATTGCAAGGCTTACAACGCACGCTGGGTACGTTGTCCATGTTATATGCATACATAATTTTACGTGGAGAGTACAATTTTTGAATGAATCCATTTTTATAGTACTACGTGCAAATTGCTCACTTCTTCCTAATAGCGATTTCGTCATAGTGTAATTTTAGTAACCGTTGAAGTGACTTTTATGAAAGATGAGATGTAGTAGATAAGGATTGGCTTGTGGCGTCACTCCCATTCCATCAAAGTCATTGCAATGGTGGCTGAGGCTACACAGTACGCAGTCGCAACATGGCAACCAGACAGACTGATGGAGGTGAGTGACGATAAAAGCATCAGACATTATTCGAAAATACTACATTTTCCATACTTACGCGTGGCAGTAAAAAGATAGGTTTACTTTGAAATGGAAGAACCATCAGTGTGTCGAAAATAACGTATAAGACCTTTTTTGTAGAAAACTTTATTATCTCCAAAAAAGATACTACTCTTTATACTTCTAGTTTGCTAGTTTATCATTAAAAATTCTTTGCCCTTAACGAATCTGGTTCGCGCTTGTCAAAATCTCGGTAAATGCTCCATGCCTATCATAACAGCAAGCAATAAGCAAACGATAGCTCCAAACTGTTGCAAATTGGTAGGAAAAAATTATTTATTCCCGGTCCACTTATATTTAGAGATGTTAAACTCCAGAAAGGGTTGAAGAAAGGGGCAATGTCTTCAAGGTTATTATAGGATCAGAAATAAAAACCTCAGTCTGATACAGTTTTCCTACCTAACATCCAGCATCCCATCTCCGCTAATAGCAGCATTATTATCCATGCACAAGTTCAGGGGCACGCATTTACACCTTGGCACCACTTCATTATCCTCACTATCAATCTGGGCGTCTATAGCCAGCAAAAATAACATAAATAGGAATCTAAACATGCCGAAGAAATATTTTCAGATCGTAGAAAGGATACGGTACTTAAGTTAGCTGGCTTAGGTTGATTGATACTAGAATTAGACTAGATGGGAGGAAATAGGTATGTTTTTTTTCCAAAATCGAGTAGCAGCGTATACAAGAACCAACACCATCGCGACTATCTAAAAATTATCTGGATCTTTGCGTCAATTCGCTGGTGGGGGTGAAAACGGTGTTAAGTCAAAATCACATATTTCGAGAAAACTCAATTTAAGGAAATCAACTGAATTGTTCATTTTAGAATACTTCTATCTACTTTTCTGACGGAAACTTATTTGTATGTTTTTGTGACAGTATTAAACATAAAATTTATGCCAAAGTAATGTAATTCATAATTTTGGAAAAGTGAGTTTTGATATTCTTACCTCTTTTTTTCTCAGCAGTTGTTTGACATATATCCTTCTGCACTATATAGAACGTAAAGGAAAATAAAGTGTTCCTGCTTCTTAAATATAATTCTTTCACAAAAGGCTTACAGATAGACAAAAATATATTATACCAAATATTCCTCATCTGAGGAAGCGTCTGGAAAGAGATCAGTTTGATCGCTAACAGTTTTTAAATTTTTATAAAAATCAGAATGTCCTTCTGAAATACGAGCCCCATCCCACTTCAGTTGGCCCACTTCAAGATTTGTACCAAAATATGCCTTTATAAACTAAACATGATAAAACTATTTACTTCTAAAACAATATTATTTTCTCAAAAACATTTTAGATACCCTCTAGTCGTAAAAAATACATATTTGAAATCACTTAGACCTATAACTAGTAGAACATTTGAACAAATAAACAATGTGCGAATAAATGCGCGAAGTTAACAAAGCAACAATTGAAAGATTACCAATGGGTAACATCACTTTTATTTTTCATTACGGCTGAAATTCTTTGGGCCATAGTGTTAGCCAAGCTTTGGCGAAAATTTGGTGTAAAACAATCCCATATTTCTTGAAGCTTTTGTCTCAGTTCGGTGATTGCACGAGCAGGATGTTGTCATAGAACCTTTTTCACCTCGTGCCACAAAGTTTCAATAGGTGACAGATCTGGAGTACTAGAAACCCATTTCAAAAGTGGCAAATTATTTTCTGCCATCCATTTTATAGCCTTTTTTGGGGCACGCTGCACCATCTTGCTGAAACACAAAATCTTGGCCGGATGTCAAACATTCTTCCATCACTGGTAAAAGCGATCCTTCTAAAATTGCCAAATATTTGTTTGTATCCACATTTCCATCAATAAAATGAAGTTTTCCTACTCCTTTTGATGGCATACTGCCCCAGACCCTAATGGATGCTGACAATTTCACTTTTCTCTTCAGACAGTCAACATGGAATGCTTCATGTTTTTTGCGAATAACTCTACCGCGACTGTCACCAACACAAACTTCGAATCGGGCCTCATCACTCCATTGTATTGCACACCATTGTTGAGGTGTCCATTGTCTACGTTCTTTAGCCCATCTAAGCCGATTTTTCTTTTGCAGTGGATTTAATAGTGGCTTTTCTTTGGCCTATAAACAAGTTGTGCAACTTTAGGGTTTTTACTTCACTTTTTTTTATAAGAAAACGTGCCTTGCAAGTGTTGAATCCCAGTTTGTTGGCCTCTCTATGAGTTGTGGACCTCGAAATTCTCCTTCCAACAGCGTCACTCCACAGAGCACTTAATTGTAAATAATTGGCACGCCTGTTTTTCACGATTGTTCTTCTTAATGCTCTTCGGTCAGCATTTGTGATATTACTTTTCGTGGCTTAATATTAACTGAACCAGTTACGTTATATCTTCTAACAATATTGCTCACACTGTACCGCGATAAGTCTAACGAAGTTGCAATTTCTGAGTTTGATTTCCCAGAATTAAAAAATTTAATTATCACTAACCGAATTTTTTCACTAATAAAATTTCCTCTACTCATTTTGAAAACCTTAACTACCCAAAACTATTTTAAACGTATTCTGACAGCTGTGATTAATAAAAACAATTGTCATAGCTTTCATTTTTCACAGCCCCCTATGCGTTATAGACTTATGTTGTATTAAAATGAAAATAGGTTGAAATGCTGGTGTTTTCTACTATATATTATCAAAATATTCATTCTTAATATTTTAAACCTATAACACCCTGCTACATTTTTATTATTTGTGTTTGATAAGAAAAAAATCAAGATTTCAATAGGTGGGCCAACTGAAGTGGGAAGGGGCTCGTAGAATTTTGTTACTCAAAATATTTCTACTCCTACTCCCTATTGTAGGATGTTGCCTTGCTGTGTAGTATTGCATATGACGTGGTTAAATATAGTGATGGGCAAAAGTATGTAGACATTATACCACTGCCACTTTAATACAAAGGAGAGTAGAAATCAAAAGTATAAACGTACTCACTGATGAGCAATCTAGATCGCAGAGTGCCAAAATCGATAGGCATGTGAATTAATTGGCCAGCGTTGATTGATAATAGAAACTGAATGGATGAAACATAATGATAAGCAGATGTGGTGGAAGTTGTGTACACTGATAGGCAAAAGTATGTGAATGGAGAATGGTGAATCCAGTTATAGAATATAATATAAAACTATAAGGATCACGTTCCTGTCAATTATATCCAAAGGTGATTACTGACCTAATTATAACTTGCAGTTACATATACTTCAAAGTTTCACAAATAGTATTTCAGCATGACAAATACACCAAAATATAAAAAATCACAAGAGCATATAACATATGATGCCACGAACTGATCAGACTTCTTATTTAGCATATTCCGCTATACTACTTTTATCTATATCCAAAGGAAGATATGGTCAATAATCAGTTCTTAAGGATAAGCAACATAGTAAAAATCAACAACGCCTAATAAAGGAGTCGAAAACAAGTATATTCGCGTATTTGCTACTTCGTTACTGTGGGGCGATAAAACTGTTAATTTCGATTCGTCATTGGCAAATGCCTACAACTTTTATGTATATCCAAAGGAAGATATGATCCATAATCAGTTCTTAAAAATAAGCAACATGGTTAACATAGGCAACGCCTAATCAAGGAGTCGAAAACAGGTGTAGTCGCATATTTGCTACTTCGTTACGGTGGGGCCATAGAACTGTTAATTTTGATTCGTCATTGGCAAATGCTAACTTTGCATGTCCAGCTAAGAGCAACGAAACATGCATGAAGCAACCATATCATAGATTTCCGAATGTTGAGCCTCGTAACCGGAAGGCTATTGAAAGAAAATTGTAATAGTGTGCTGTGTCTACTGTGTCTCAAATTATTACAAAATGCTCTTTATTGAAATGATTTACATCAACAACTGCCCAAATAATTACTATATATCAGCAGTCCAAGTAGCGGCTATTCATATTATGTTGAAAAATGAAGGAAACATTCCAGATTCTTAAGATATAAGCTTTTCCCAATTGTTTGAGCACCATGTGTTCAGCAGTTAACACACAGTATGTTAGATAATAACCATCTGGAAAGTTTTATATGTTGCTACTAAAGGGTTGTCTCTCTTCTTCTGAATATCTTTTTCATCGTTACATTCTCCATTTCTGGATCACCTTTTCATGATTCATAATTTTCACCTCCGTTTCGGTGATAACAAAAAACTTTATTCTCTACTTGTGGACATCAGTATATCACCAACGCGAATTGTTTGTTTTCCAGTCAGCCTCCCTACCTCCGAATGAATTCATCATACCATTGGCTGTTTCTATCATTGTTTTCAACAAAATTATAAACGGGGCATGCGTTTTCTTAACCATCCCTTCCTAAAATCAAAAATTTATACAAAACCTTCAGACGTTCCTGCCTGCTTGATCAAACACCATATTTGATTTTTAACTTCTTTTCGATTCATTAGTATGGAATTAACGTAAGCCGGTTTTAAATCTTCATTAATGAATTTTTGCAATGGTTTTTCGTATAGTGACCTGTGAGTTTGTTGTATTCACGTGTTATTGATGCTTCTTCGCTGCTTGAGATCTCTTGCCCTGAAACATGTGTTCAACCTTGAAAGTTGTTTTTTTATTGATGTGGTATTGAGTATCGTAGACCATGCATTGTTATTGTAGCACTCCCTGAAGAAGAAAATGGACATTTTCGAAAGTTTGACATGATCAAAGAAAAAACTTTATTGCTGGCCTCTGATATTCCATTCGGCAGCAATCTCAAGAGTTCTCCATGTTGAACTTACTTAGTATAATGTAGTGTAAGTAGTGTCAGCTGCCACGTCGCATATAACCTAGTCAGTCATTATCTCCTTCTCTTCTAATGAGATACTCTGACATGGGGATTTGTCTACACATTGCAAACAATATATCCAAGATATAGTCAAAATAGCCCAGATATATAGCCAGGCCATATATTGCAATATGGTCATGGCGGTTGGGCTACACATGCCATAATTCTTTCCAGATATTGCTATCTAAATACTGCTCATTTACATGGTCTTCAAAAGTTACCGTTTTAATAAATGAAAACCTTCTCGTACACCCTGTAGAACCTCAATACTAAGGTGTGTTACTCCCTTGCCAGGACAAAAGGATACCGAATTTTCCTCTGTCTAGCTTGACGTTATCGACCAAAACATTGAGATTCTAATTATAAACTAGCAATAAAGCGATGGCAAACTGCCGAGCATATCCCGAAATATCCCGGTGCTTTCAGTTTAGTTTTTGTCAAGTCTCGAGATCAGCTGTTCTGTGTTTTTATCGTGAAAATGTCTCCGAAACAGCCCGTGCTTCCGCTAAGTTACATGTGTTTGAAGATGATTTCCAATCAAGTGACCTATGCCCTGTCCGACGACGAAGGAAAGTATTACGAGGTGGTGCAGGAGTACCTCGCAGATGCTACTTACGAGGTGCTTCAAGACCTTTTGAGGATGATCTTGAACTGCATCACATTGGATGCCGGCATCAGGTTCAGTTGTCTGGAGGTACTACTTCGTGAGGACGTGAAAAAGCTAGATACTGGTGGGTAGTAACTTTATCATCGTTCAAGTTTTATGTTTATGTTATATGCGCGCTAATTCAGAAGCACGTTCGTCATGTAACATTGCAAAAATTACGGATGTGGGGTGAACCTAGCAGCACCGTAAAACATATTAGGTTTATTTGATGTTTCTGTTGTGTTGAATAACAAGATACCTAATGGATTTGAAGTTACCTTGTAGATATACTGCTAAAACTTAAAAACTGCTCTGCATTTAACACTGGATCAGAAGAACCTAGTAAGGTCATAAACTAAGATCAATTAGTATTGGGGTTTTAAAAATATTTAGTCTCAAAATTTTTCAGATTCATGAAGATCTTGCGGGCTGTTCAGTTCTATCACATTCCAGTGTACGTAGTTGTAGTTTTCAAGCAGTTATAAACATTCCCACACACAAGTGACAAAACCCATTATTAAATCTACATGACAATTTTGTCAGTGAATTATGTCCTTAGCCTATTTCAAATGCTTTCTAAAACGCAAAGGAGTAATTCCGATTCATTCTAACATTTTAACAATACTATCTTTCTTCCAAACTGAAGTTCTTCACGTTTTCAAAATATTGCTAATTTTGTTTTGAATTGTCAAACATCAGAAATATTGAGAGCCCTGTATTTGTAAGACCTTTTCTGTTAACATTAATCTAAAAGTGGGGCGCGTAAGTATTTTTCTACCTGGACAGTCCGAAATAACTATCAACTTATCATTGTTTTATAAGATACATACTCGTACATATAAAGATGTGTTGCCTCTTACTATCTTCTTTGAACTGCTTTTATGTAATAAGAAAATAATAAGTATATAGTTTTAAAGAGCAATTTTATTTTAACGTTTATGTTAACAATATACTCGTAGTATACGTTCGATAAACACCTTTGGGTTCGCTTTAATACTCCATGTGTTCAAAATGTATTTGAGCTGGTTTTAAAAGTACGTTAACAGCACTTTCAAAACAATTGCTCACGATAATAAAGATTTATGTAGGTTTTTATTTTCGGTTTTACTGATCGCTTTCAATGTGGGGCCTTTTACGCTCTAGCTAAGTTTACTACATTCGTAAGGCTTATTTAAATACCATCTGGTTTTAATTGCATTTTCATTTCTTTGCATCCTTCAAATGCTTAACAAACCCATTCGGTGCTACATGAACGTATGTGACAATAGGTTATGTTAGTCTTGATGTTGATATGTTGGTAGTATATCTGTCTGTCATTTGAAGTCATCTGATCTCATAAGCGCTGAATCTACTGAGACATCTTTAATAGCAATGAAAAGAATACAGTAGGTCAGAGTTACCATGAAATATCTTCCAACAGTACACGAACGTTTTACAAAAAAAAAAAGCGTTCATTTCTTGTCAACCCACAAGAAAAAGCATTTGAGTTCTGTTCCACTGTGGCACTCTGTATTATAGAAAATATATAATTTCAGGAATCCTATAAATTTGGAATGTAACTGGTCATGTTCACACGGTCCAGAGAGCTTGTGATATAAGTTACAAAGCTTTTAAAGTAAATCGGTTCAACATCATCAGATATGAAAGACTACTTACCACACTCAATGGAAGTCTAAGGCCTGTATCGCCAGTCGTCCCTACAATTGTAGGGCGCGTTTATGGCCTCCTTGATTGTCATACAACTTTCTCTCCTTCAAAAATTTCTAGATTACACTTGTCCCGTGTCAGCGTCAGCGCTCTCCTATTGTGAAGATATGTCTTCTTTTTAAATTTTAGGAAATTTCAGGCTGATAGAAGATGATATAACTCAAAAGCAAGCACAATTTGATGCAAATAGATGTTTGCGACATAACCTCAAAATAGAGTTCTGACACGGAGAAGTAGAAAACTATGACAATCAAGGAGGCCATAAAGGCGCCCTACAACTGACGATACGGGCCTAAGACCGTATCGTCAGTTGTTCCTACAACCGGAAAACCGGAAAACTATGAAAATCAAGAAGGCTATAAAGTTGTCCTACAGTGTTCTAGGAACGACTGACGATACGGCCCTGAAGGAGTATTTGTGATAAATCTGTTTTCTGATTCAAAATTTGTAATTTATTACGAGTACTATGACCATATTTAGGTTAATTTTGACTGTTTTTCAACTATTTGGCGTTATTATCATGACCATTAATTCTATTCTCAGGTATATTCCCTTGGTTTTACTACGAAAAAATCCTGAAGACATTAAAAGAAAGAGGCAAGAGACTTCAACAGCTGAATCTGAAAGGTGTGTGGGTGAGAGACTATCCAGAGGAGCTCACGGACCTCATCGAGAACCTACCCAATCTGAGGACACTAATTATGCCACATATGGCCGGGGATGAGGTTATAGAAGCTGTATGCTCATTGAAGTATCTGACTATTCTGGATATATGCGGAGAGGCGTGTTATACAGTTGAAGGTATGTGGAGTTTTTTCTGGAAACATATGATTTATTATCAGCTTTACGTTTGAAGTTAAATCTAGAACATACGAATACTTGCAAGAATCTGATACCGAAATAAAGGAGAGTAGTCTGATACATCACACGCCACTGTTAATGCGACGATGGGTTCCGCGTGCACCGACCTCGTTTAGACAAAGGCATACAACGTTTGATGTGCTATGCTACTATCTACGAGTTAGTAACATAATACAGGGTGCGGCAGAGAGGACGGATGTTTTTGGGATGGGTAGTACCCTCCGCCTCCGTCGACGAGAGAGGTGGGGAGGGTGCCGTTTGACTCGTGAGATCCTAGCATTATTTTACCAGTTGTCGTTATGGAGCCTTCGACGGTGGACCACCGCGTTTTCGCCTATGATTGTTTCGTCCGAAATAATGAGTCAGTCATCGTCGACATCGTGAGTTTCGTCGCCACTTCAACATTCATCGGAATAGAGCTGTTCCCTCTCGAAACACCATCCTTCGTTGGGTTAAATCACTTGGCAGACGCGATCAACAGAAGACCAAGAGGAGCGCCGCGAACAGTTCGAACTCCTGAAAATGTTGAACGCGTTCGACAGGTCACCAACTCCTTTCTCCCTGAATTACGACGGCGACGTGTTCCAATCCGACGTGTGTGGTTCCCGCAGGATGGGGCGACCGCCCACACAGCCCGAGCATCCATTCGCCCTCTCTTCCCTGGTCACTTTATTTCCAGGTTTGGCGATGTTTATTGGCCTCCTCGGTCCCCAGATTTATCCATATGCGAATTTTTCTTATGGGGAAATCTCAAGGCTAGAGTATACGCGAACAAGCCCCGAACTCTGGACGAATTGAAGAGCGAAATTCGCGTGGAAGTCGCCCAAGTTGAGAGAGCGATGTTGCAGAGAGCCTACGCGAACTTCCAAGAACACCTCCAGCACTACATCAACGATTTCGGCCACCACATGCCTGATGTGATTTTCCACACTTGACTGTCTCAAATTCTATTTCCTTGTGAACCTGATTCCATCAATAAATTTGTTTTCGAATAAAAATTAACTAATTTATGATTTTTTAAAAACCGTTCATCCTATCTGCCGCACCCTGTATAAGAATTGCCGAAAATAATAGATAAACAGGTCCAGAAAATTGAGCACTTCAAAAACGTTTTACGAGTATAACTATCTGTGGTTTTTTTAATGTACCAGAGTTATACATCAAAAGCATAAAAAGGAACATACAGAAAATGACACCTCTTTGTTTCTTACGCCATCCCGCTAGTTACTAGAATTGAATAATTAAGACAGTACAGTACCATCACCAACGTTTCAGCTCCATTATCTAAAAATTGAGTATTATCCAAGTTCTCCAAGTCAACAGACAGGACGAAAATTTATTATAAATTACTAATTCTAAACTCATCTAAATAAATTACAGCTCAACATAACTAAAAAACACGCTTTAATAAATAGCAAATCGAACTAAAAAGTAGAAAATAATTTTCAAGTATAGGAGAGTTTGTGTTACTGCAACAGAAAGTCTGAAAATCAAGTATGTCTTATGATTAATTTGGAAATAGATAAATGTAAAATTCATATCATCATATTAAAAAAGCGTGGGTTGCTTGGTATTGAATGTTTGGATTATTTTTTGTCGTTACAAAATGGGAGCTACTATAAAAATATAGCCAATTGCATCTCACGCTTTTTCACTAGAAATGAATTTTCTGTTAATATCTTAGTTTTACCTTATTTCAAATTACTTACTCATACTTTATAGTTGGACTTTTAATGCAGTAGCACAAACTACCTATACTTGAAAATTATTCACTACTGAATAGTAAATAGTTTCTCTGCTGTTTCTGACTGTTTAGTCTCGAAAAAACAACAAAAATATAATCAAGAGCTCGACTTTTGGAATTTTTTTATGTTTGATAAATTCTCTCATATTTCGACAATTCCCAATTTTTTTGTGAAAACTCACAACTTTCACACTTCAAATTGTTTTGTAAATTTCCAAATTTTGCAACCAACCTTCGGATCATCAAAAACATTTGTTTCCAAATTTCAGAATTCAAATTCTCATGATAAATCCAAATTTGCTTCCAAATGTTTCTAATTATATTTAGAAATTTTCAATAATTTACAAATGTTTTGGAATTTCCATACCTGCAAAATATTTTTCAAATTTCCAAATTTTCGAATTATTCTCCAAATTCTCAAAACTACTTTTTTCCAAATTTCAAAATTCAATTTTTTCGAAAATTATCAAATTCAAATCAATTTATTTTACATTTGTCATCATCTCTTTACCGCTGTGCAAATTTTCAAGTTAATCAGACTTCTTGCGTGTTAAAGATACTTCAATCATGCTTCAAATATACTAAGTGACATATAAATTCGAACACCCAGTTTAAATGGTTTTATTTTAATAAAATTTTGTATAAGTACTTAATGAAGCATAATAAGTAAATGATAAAAATTTCAAAATGATTGCACTGCTTTAAAGCCCTTTGACCTTTAATAATGTGTGGATGCACCCTGATGTGCTACGCATTCTCCAACGCGCCTAGGCATGCTTCTGATCAGGTGGTCAATGTCCTCCTGTGGTATCTCATTCCAGGCAACCACCAACTCCTCTCGAAGTGCTTCTAGAGTCTGAGGAGGACGTTGCAAATTGAGCAATCTCCTACCCATCATATCCCACAGGTGCTCAATTCGGGATAAGTCGGGAGGTCTTGGTGGCCATGGTAACAATGTGACATCATTATGTTGAAAGAAGTCTATTGTGACTCTTGCAACATGTGGTCGGGCATTATCTTGTTGGAAAGTTGGATCTGCCAGGGTGTCAAGATAGGGTAAAAGATGGGGTTCTAGAACTTCGTGGATATAACGCGCGCGTTCATGTTACCCCTGATGAAGATTAAAGGTGACCTGGAACCATAAGCTATAGCACCCCAAGCCATAACTCCAACAGTGTGATGAACATGTCTTTCAACAAAAAACTGTGGATTCCTCCTTTCACCACGTCGCCTTCTAACCCTGGCACGACCATCGTGCATGCCTAAACAAAATCGAGACTCGTCACTAAAGACAATACTGTTCCATTCCTGATCCCAGAGTGACCGTTGTCTGCACCACTCAAGGCGATTACGTCGATGTCCTCGAGTTAAAGGGAGGACCCAGTGTGGCCGGTATGAAAACAAGCCAAAACTTCTCATTCGTCGGTAAACACTTCGCATGCCAATAGGTCTTCCGTGTTCTGCAAACCATTCATTTGCAATGGACCTGGTAGTGGAGAAACGATCCCTTAAGGCCAATATTCTTAGGCGGCGATCTTCATGATCTGTTGTTCTACGGCGGCGTCCAGTGCCCCTTGCTCTTTGCGTACGGCCTTCTCGAATCCATGCCTGACAACACCTAACCACAGTGTCTACACTTCTTTGCACTCTAACTGCAATTGCCCGAAAAGAAGGTCCAGCTTCCCGAAGTGCCACTATACGGCCCCTATCAAACTCACTAAGTTGACGAAATCGTACAGGTCTCCGTACTCTAGGCATCGTAACCAATCGTAAAGGATGTCAAGAACCAAAATCCGCCAACGTTGATTCTTTACTGCGGCTGAAATATTCATTTTTAGAGCGTTAGTGAATAAAAAAAAAAGCAGTATAAAGACCGGAATGTCCAACTGATAAGGCTGAAAATTTTTTCACTTGTCATTTACAGTAAGATAAATACATTCACCAACTTTTATTAAAATAAAACCATTTAAACTGGGTGTTCGGATTTATATGTCACTTAGTATATATTCGAACGTTGTGATGTTGTTCCCGCGGTAATCGAACTGTTATCGTATCGTATACGCATATCAGATTGTTGTTGTACTGTTACAGGCATCCGAAAGCTGAGTAGCGACAGGCTACAAGTACTTGATATCGGCAACTTTGGAAAAAGAGACATATGTCAAGAAGAAGATAGCGGACCAGAGCTGGTTGCTCATATAATGATGAACTGTCCGAATCTCCGCTCTGTAAAGACGTATTCCTATACTGGTAGCTCTTTGCAAATTATCTACGAAAAGAATCCTAGTTACAGAACGAAGTTGAAATATATTCATGATACAGGTAAGTGATGTAATAGTATCTTCGTTCCTATACAGACTGTCTTATCTGGATTCCTTACGGAGATCCAGCCCCTAAAGCGCGTCACTGGATATCTACTTATTTTAAAAATGTTTGTCTGATATTTGAGCTGGAAAAGATGTGCTTCTGTGTGACATTAAAAATTGAGCTATGTTTAAAGTAGACATGGTTATTTCAGTAGATTTCTATCAATTTTGGTAATGGATAAACTAGACTAGTTCCATCACTTCCAAAATTTAGTAGTTCTGACAATAAATTAGTGATCCGATTAAGTGCCACCAGATGGGTTACGGCAGCTTGAGAGAACAGGCGAAAGATGATGTACGCGTAGGATTGATTATGCTTCTAACAGTTGATCTTGAAGGTCGGCTAGCGCTGAGGACAAATGGTTGAGGTAGCCCCATTATCTCTTGTTTAACTTTTTGGGATTGACCTGCAGTTTAGATCGATAGAAACACAGTTGTAACAAGAATTATTTTCAAAAAAATTGATCAGTTGGGATTTTTGTGATCTGTACGCATTCGAGAGAGTGCGATATTATTATAGGATATCCTGTATAGTATTCCTGGTAGCACAGTTTATACAGGGTGTCATACGTAGAATTGCAATTATCGATTACTCAAAAAGTGATGTAAGACAGTTACGAAAATTAGGTTGTATAATAGTATACCTAAAATATTTTAAAAATCTTCAGTACCTTGTACCATTTGTTATTCAAATTCGAGTTAATTCTGCTAAACATGGTTCTTTACCGAAAAAAACTCGTTAAAAACCAGTAAAATATTGTTAGAATGCATTGACCTGCATTTGTTATATTTACTTAACACGACACTGGCGATGAAGTACTGTACTAGCGAAAAGTTTTGAAAATGAGATATGTTTATTAGACGTTACATAACATATACATAATGAAAAGCCATGTCATTTCCGTCGGTCAAGCCCGCTAATCCTTGGCCGGCGACTAACTTGGAAAGTATTAGTAGATTTTGTTGAACCTTCAACACAAGGTTTCTACCATGCCAAGGACGAAAAATATTCACAGTTTTTGGAAATCGGGCCAGTGGCGATGGAGGTAAGGGCAAAAAAGATAAAAACAAAACAAACCCCAAAAATCCCAAAATAAGGGCAAATTGCAGATACATTTTCATGACAAAGAGATCTTTTTATTACTAGCAAAGTCAGTCCGTCACACATATTTAAAAAATGGACAATTTACGGTGGATGAACACTTTTTAACATATTACCTGCTGAGTATCGGGACTCGTTGTGTATTCAAACGTGAACTAAAGCATATTTTGCTCGATTGCTGTTTTTATAAAATAAACCTGTTCATTGCACATTTTCCCGACTAGTAGGTTTTAGTATGATTGATATTTCACTTAATGTGATATATTCTAGTATTTTCATGTAAATTTCCTCTTTTTATAGCTCTTTTCTTTGTGTGTCGCATTCCATATCCCTGATAAAATTCGTTGAATACGGGACGATTATTATTATCATTCTATGCCCTTACTAGACATACGAGGGATGTCTTTTAAGTTTTGCATATGGAAATAAAATAACACGATAGGTAGTTTTGAATGGCTTTATTGTTTTTCGAAGTATTCTCCACGAAGATTAATATACAACTGCATGCGCTCGAACCAATTTTCGAAGCACTTATTACACTCGTTTGCTGGCAGATCCAAAACGGCATTTTTGAATGCGTGAACTGTTTCTACTGGTGACTGGAACCTTTGACCACGCAGTCTGTTCTTAATCTTCGGGAAAGTAAAGAAATCGTTAGGACTTAGATCGGGACTATATGGAGGATGGTCCAATAATTCCACGTTTTCTTTCGTTAAATACTGCCTTGTTTTTTGGGCTGTGTGCGAGCTTGATTGTCTTGGTGGAGGATGATCCTTCTTTCGGGGTTGATTTCTCGAAGCTCGGTAATGACTTTAGGCAAACAAATGGTGGTATAGCAATCTACAGTAACAGTTCTTTGCTCCTAAAGAGGAATTGTTGCAATATGACCCGCTTTTGACACAAATGTCGCGACCATCACCAGAGTGAACGGAATTTTTGTGAGGCGGGGTTAACTTGGCACGTTGTGGACTTGTTAATGTAATGATTTTTGCACTCGGCAAGTATCACTGATTTTATACAGGGTGTCCCAGGATATGTGAATCAAATTGCAATGGGAGATACCTTAGATAATGACCTCTCAATTGCGATACAGACCTGACAAAAAACGTGTAACCTTAGCGTTAAAACAAAAAATCAGTTTTTCTGAAAAAGTATAACTTTCGTCAGACTCTCGACGACAGGTGCCGCGTGTAGGGTTTATTTTCATTTTTTTTTTCACAATTATCATTAGCGAATGATTGAAGCATGAAACTACAAACAGTTTTATTCTAAAAGTGACGTAATTTTGAAATCGCAGCGCTATTTTGGAATTTTTTTTCTGCATCAAAAAGTTTCTTGTAAGTTCGGCTAACAGTGGTATAAGAAAAATGTATGGTACTTGTTTGGCAAACCTCTCCGAAAAATAGCCCAGTTAATGAAGATTCGAAAATGGTACAAATCAGGTAATTTACCTCAACAGAGTAGGAGAATAAAAATTCTTAGAGTGCAAGAGCGAAATTGGTCAAATTTCAAAATTACAATTTTTAAATCATAATTGCCTGTACGTTCAAACTATTGCTTAAAACATTAGAATCGGCATCAAAACGTTGTTTCAATGTCCGGTAGACTGAACAAAACACATGCTAGCTCGCTCAAGGTCGGCTAAAATTATTTGTGTTGTCGCACCTATCCCCAGAATTTAAGAAGGGAGCAGGGCTCGATTTCCTGGTGGTCCTCGTAGTGAAGGAAAACCTCGGAGACATAACGACGATGTTGTTGTAGAGCACGTAACAACGGATCCGTCGACGTCGCTGCGCGCTATTGAACGAAGAACTGACATTCCAAGATCATCGGCACACCGAATACTGCAAATGTTAAGATACCATCCGTATCACGTGCAAAAAGTGCAGTCTCTTTTAAATAGAGATTATGCACCGAGTGTACAATTTTCCCTAAAAATGATCGAGCTAAGCCGAGAAGACCCCAACTTTTTTAATCGAGTTTTGTGGAGTGACGAATCCACCTGTAAGAAAGATGGCTACGCAAATCTCCACAATCTACATAGCTGGCAAATATCAAACCCTCATTTAATAAGAGAGGACCGTTCTCAGTACCCGTTCAAAATCAATTTATGGACTGGGATTTTTAATGGCAGAATTAAATTCGGCAAATTATTTAGAACTATTGAGAGACACATTGCCGAGACTTTTAGCAGAAGAACCAGAGGATTCAATACAAACAAGGTGCCTACAAAATGACGGATGCCCAGCCCATTTTGGGGGCCTACCTTGATGAGGCTTTTCCTAGGCGATGGATTAGCCGTCTGAGGCCAATTCTATATCCACCAAGGTAGCCAGACCTAAACCCTCTAGATTTCTTTTATTGGGGTTGCCTTAAAGATAAAATTTATTCGCGACCGAACACACCGATTGGATCGCTGGAAGAACTAAGAGAGCGTATTAACCAGGCTGCACAACAAAGTTCTGTTATGAGCTTGCGGCGCCTAAAACAATTTTTTTTGAGAAGATGTGCATTGTGCATTCATACTGGTGGCAGACGCTTTGAACATCTTCTATGAGAATCGTAATTGGTTATTTCTTTATTGATGTTTTTGGTTGATTAAAGTTGAAAATTGAAAGTACTTTTCTGTGTTTCCTTAAGTTTACCTTACATTGAAACACCAGTTTTTGATTCTTATACTTTTTTAAACAAGTATTGAGCTGTGTAACAATAGTTTGAACATTCGATCAACGTGAAAAGCAATTATGATTTGAAAAGTGTAATTCTGAAATTCGATCCATTTCACCCTTGCACTCTAAGAACTCTTATTCTCCTACTCTGTTGAGGTAAATTACCTGATTTGTACCATTTTCGAATCTTCATTAACAGGGCTATTTTTCGGAGAGGTTTGCCAAACAAGTCCCATACATTTTTTTTTATACCGCTGTTAGTCGAACTTACAAGAAACTTTTTGGTGCAGAAGAAAAATTCCAAAATAGCACTGCGATTTCAAAATTACGTGACTTTTAGAATAAAACTGTTTGTAGTTTCATGCGCCAATCGTCTGCTAATAATAATAGTGAAGAAAAAATTAAAATAAACCCTAAACGCGGCACCTGTCGTCGAAAGTTACACGTTTTTTTTGTCAGGTCTTTACCGCAATTGAGAGGTCATTATCTAAGGTATCTCCCATTGCAATTTGATTCACATATTCTGGGACACCCTGTATACAACCAGGCCAATACACAAAATCATCCAGATGCAATGTTACTATTCAGCCAACTTTCTTCTTAGAGACGAAAACTACAGACTACTCGACTTCACTAAACATATGCAACCAGCAATGCGTGTAGTTGAGTCATTCCTTCATAGATATATGCTCATAACGATCCTAGTGTTCAAACGTGGAATTACTGTTTGCACCCTAAGAACTACCTAGTCTGCAAGATGATACTTTATAGGTTTTTTTTGACGTTATAAATGTTTTTCACGTAATACCCGTGCCAGAGTTTAGTGTACTATAACCCCAAATTATAATAACTGCCTTACGGCAACATTCTGAGGATCGCAGCAGAATTACGTGGGGCAAAATTCCTTTTGGCGTAATTTCTCATTATTTATCGAATATCTGGAAAAAAACTACTACTCTAACAGCATTCAATGCTTTCCCACAAACTCAGAATCTACTTTGTTACTAGGAACGACGCTGAATTCAATGGAAGCCATAACAACCCTCTGCCCCGATTTAGAAACAGTTCACTTAGAAAGTCCCGACGATGAAGTTTTAGGAAAGCTGTCAAAGTTACGTAAGCTGCACACGCTGAAACTCGTGAAGTACAGCGCACCAGAGCTGACGGGCTACCTGAGATGCTCCGGCAGTCAGATTCAAGTCCTCAAACTAAGCAGAGTGAAGGACGTCTCGCTAGACTTGTCGCTCCTATGCTCCTTAATTCCTAATCTAGTGACGCTTGAGTGCTTCCAGATGAAGTTAACTTACTCGGACTCCAGCAGCTACTTCATGAGTTTGCAGAACGTGGAGTTTTTGTACTGTGATATGTCGGACGACGTTATTAGATTCGTCCTGATGAATTCCCCCTTCTTGAAGAGGATGGTGGTGGGCTGTGTGATACTTATGACTGACGGTGATATATTCAGGCTGTGTGCAGAGTGCGACTTTTCCAATTTGGAGGAGTTGTGGTTCTCTTGCGCGAAATGGCTGACAGCCACGTCAGTAGAACTTCTCATGGGCCATTGTCCCAATCTCAAGGTACGTCGTTTTCAATTACGTTGATGAAGCATTAATTAACGCATTCTGTCTGTCCGTATACAAGGCACTTCCTAATTGAATGCTAATATTTAAGGAGGCGATTTTTGTGTCCACTTTACAAACGTCTTAACTTTTGAAATACAGGGTGGAAAACCTTTCAAACATAGACAATGTGATAGCTGTAGTACCACTTTAGATATTCTAATGAAATTTGGCATACATATAATAATAATAATAAACGGCTTTATTGGCGGAGTTTAGCACAGCTATTCTTACACTCAACCTTTCTAAAGACCGAAGCTTAATGCTAATTTGACATACAAATATGGTATTTTACATATACAGTAAACGATCGTATGTCTATGAATCTGACTAAAAAAAGGACAGGGCATTTATTCATTGATGCTATGCTGAATTCCTAGAAGATGTTGTCTGAGATGCAGTTTGAAACAAATTTTATTAGTATTTGATATATCGACATTCCTGCTATAGGTGTTAAAGAGAGACACTGCATTATACGTGAAAGATCTGTAAAAGAGTGAAGTTACATACATAGGCATTCTAAAATGGTGTTGTTGTCTTGTATTGACATTATGTATACTTGACCTAGGGCCAGCTTTTCTACTAAATATACAGGACTCTTAGAATATAATACACGATTCAATGTTGTTAGGTACAAATATTTGAACAGAGAATTGATATTAAGCCATTGTAACAGCCTAAAACTATTAGATATGTGGTCAAGTTTACGTAAGTTACAGACAAAACGGCAACAGTTATTCTGCAGTAACTCTGCAGGCGCATTTGAGTCGAATAGTCCAGGCATGGATAAAAAACTACCAAACCATAACTGATAAATTATAGCACTAAACTTTCAGCCAGCTTTTTCCTCGTCTTGAAGTTAATAGTGTACTTATTGCCATACAGTAATCGCAGTTTCAAATAACACCTCTGAAATATCGTTTCAATGTATTGTTGGTAACGTAACTTGTCATCCATGATCTTACAGCTAGTTGAAAAATAGAGTTGTTGTTCATTCAAGAAGAGGGTCAGACCACTGCTCAAGTTTTCTCGCTTGTGATCAGAACAGAAAAGCACAAGTTTGGTTTTATCAGGATTTAGTTTCAAATTGTGTTCTTTACAATTGTCAGATACTGTTCATAAGTCAGTGTTGATTGAATCATTTGCCTGTTCCGCAAGAGATGGTTTAAAATGAAACGGAAGCTGCGTGTCATCAGCATAAGATTGAATGTGTGTGTACTGTACGGATTTCAAGATACCAGCTGTGTATATAATGAATAACAACGGGCCTAAAACAAAACCTTGAGGAACTCCTGATGTTATTGTTGTTATCTCAGGTCTTTTGTTATGTAGAATAACGCTTTGCTTACGAAGACTTAAGTAATTGCAAAATAAGTTCAACGCTGTATGGTCAAGGCCATAATGATACAGTTTTGCGCACATAAGTGAATGGTCAATGGTGTTAAAAGCTTTTGAAGAATCCAAGGATACAAGTAGAGTGGCAAGCCTCTTATCTAGCAATCGTATAATTTCATCATTAAGATTTAAAAGAGCAGTGGTTGTATTATGCCCTCCCCTAAAACGCTAGTGGTACTTAGGCAGGATGTTTTGATCTATTGAATACTGATCTAGCTGTACATTAACTATTTTTTCTAACAGTTTGGATGGAATGCATAGTAAACTGATAGGTCTCAAACGAGCAAGCTCACTTGGAGCAGGGATCTTAAGTAAAGTCGAGGAAAATATCCTTTCTCTAAGCAACAGTCTATAATGTGTGTCAATGGATTTAATAATTCTGATATACACAAAGTTATGCCGTCAGGATGCATTTGATCTTATCTTCGATATATGCTCCAGTACAACACTTTGGTCACCAAAGCTGAATAAGAAGCTGATATCACTCATTTTGCTGTGGTAATATATGATAATAAGAGCACTAGATTCATTATTTTCAGTATATGCAGACACGAAAGACCTGTTTATTTCATTAGGATGGCTTAAGGATGGCGGAAGTGAAAAGGAAGAAGAATTATTTATGTTTTATGTTTTTCAGAGTTTTCCAAAATTGCCTATTATTTCTTCGAGAACACAAATAGTTAAGATATGCACGTTTTTCTGTTCTTATTGCCATCAATGCAAAGGTAATGGTACGCTTCAGGTTTTCTCTTAAAATAAAAATAATTAATGAAATCTCCAATCATCTCTAAGCAAATTTGATCGTTTGTTTGTTTATTCGATACACGGTTTCCGCGTACGAAATAAAAAACTGTTTAACGATATCTTTAATAAGACAAAGTCGTCATATACAAAAATAGATATTAATGATTTAGGTGAAAGCTGCGGGTCGAAGAACTCAAGAGACAGAATTTTTGTATACTGGATACTCGCGTACAAGAAAAGATCTGGAAGATGCAAGCGCCATCTATGAGACAATTACACGGTACAAATTGAATGTAAAGATCTACTTTGAAAAGAGTTAAAGTGTTTAGTTCTGTTGATGTCTCATAGATGGTGCTGGCTCTTCAATCTCTCTTTGGGCCTCTCTAAGCTCTAATTTCATTGGGAATTTTCAAGCAGTGATTAATTTTTCACCAGCAGACCTCTCTTTTCAAAGTATATATTCATTCAATATATTCATTTCTGTGTTCTGCTAATGGAAATTACTGCCGGTGTCCTAACTTGAGTACAAAACTGAGTGGGCCATTTAGAACTAAGCACTATTTTTTCTCTATCTCTACTCTATCCTTTATTAAAGGTCCACCCTTAAGGCAATGACAAGAAAACTTTGTGAGTTATGAAAATCGCTTTGGTGGCGATAGCTCTATCGTCACTGAAATGGGCAAAAAGGAACAAACAAAAGTTGTTCATACCTTTTCAAGGTCTCACCTTATTTTATTTAAACACAATTATGTTCCAAATGATTTAGGTATTTTGAACAGAATTTGTCAATTTTTATATGCAACATATCGGCTTTGACCACTTGATGATGTAACATCTGTAAATACTCTCCATTTTTAGCTAATAACGTTTTTGAATTTATATAAAAACTATTCTCTATTATGGTGTTATAACTCTGAGTATTTCCTATTTCTTTAGGTGATTGGTCAGCTTACAGGCTGGGATATGCACCAAGAAGAGCTAGACTACCTGAAAATGGTCATTGCAGCTACCAATACAGACCTTACATTACTTCCCGTGGGAAACTTCGCCTAATGAGATCTGTGATATTTGATATGCTATATTTTGTACTATAATAAAAGACGTATCACATGGAAAGAGCTGTATCATTACGCTTTATCACTGAAGTACTTGGTAGTAGAGGAGTAGGTACACACCTGATGATGATCCTAACAAGATTACCTAATTAGTATAAATAACATTAAATCAAGAAGAAGCACAAGGATGTATAATTCACTTAAACCGTTCAGACCTAAAAGTATCAACTCTCCTCGTTATGTACAAGGTTCTGGTAAGATTAGACCTGCAGTATCTACTAGCATCCTAACTTTCCTTCATTATGAACCCTTCGGGCTTCTGCATTTCTTTCAAGTTTCTGAAGGGCCTTTTCTGGTCCAACCAGCTTTAGGCACGTCAATATTATCAACAAGCCTAAGAAGCAATTTTGTTTGCAAAACTCTCTCACTGTACAAACCCGAGATAAAGCTCCGTCTGGAGTACTGGTCACATGTTTAGGGTGCTGCGACGCTGAATATATTGTCGATACGCAATAGCTATTTAAAGAAGGTCTATCCGACTGATCGATAGTACTTTCCTAATTTCCCTAAGTCTCGCGACCCTTTCGCACCGATGGTCGACGATCTGGCTCGCGCGTTGAGCCTGTTAGACGAACCCTATGGAACTTCGTTCATATAGGACTGGCAGATACGACCGCTCCTAGGGTGTAAGATATAAGTGTAAGATTGTAAAATAATTAGGCCCTGAGGAGGCTTTTCCCCGTTTTGCAAAACAAGATAATCTACTTACAGCAGTCGAGATACATCGGTATTTAGGCTCTGCCTTCAGTAGAATCACGTCATATTAAGGTCTAGTAGATGCTAATGGAAGCGAGAAGGCGGAGTCAAAAAATAGGGTTTGATATGAAATTATCGGAAAGTATCAGGAAATTCATCTCGAACCTCAAAAAAGGCACGCAAAGACATGACTTGCTGAACTGCAAGCAAGTTCCCAGTTTAATGCTCTAGCTATTTACAGTTGCCATAATTTTTTGCAATAGGTGTCATTTGGTACAAAATGCCGGTACGCCTTCCATATTTTATAACTATAACCTGTGTCTGCTATATTCGAGATACAAAATGTAATCGCATCATAAATATTCAACCAGCAGGTATTTTCCAAACCTTATACTTACGTGTTAGACAAAATTCCCGGCTGTTACGGGGCGAGCTTTACCGACGGCGTAAATAATTGAATAATTATCATCCACCCCTCTATTTTTCCAGCGTCCGATCGTAAAGAACCTCTTCCATTATTTATGGCCCTTTGGAGCCTCCCAGAAGCTAAGACAAACGCATCGATCGCGCGTTCTCATATGGATAGAATTCCAGATTGGATCGGCCTATCTCCGATATATCCAGTGTTGCCGAAATATGACAGACGAACTCCATACCTCAATTGAGCCTTAATCCGAGAACCGTACCCATAGTAGAATCAAATTAACAGTACACTGTGGTACAGCTATACCCCAACAAGGAAAATCGTATCCAAGCGTCCTTAAATACACTGACGCCCAAAAAATATAACAAAAGAGATACGAACGATTTTGGTTATCTTTTGTAAATCAGCGTAGGATTCTAGGGTTAAGGATACCTGTTTCTTATACTGAAGCAGCCACTTAGGTAGAAACCTAAACGACAGGGCACCGCGACTATTATGAGAAGTTTAAAGATGCTTAGATGCATTTTTCGAATTATCTAAGGTTACTAAAACTGGGAAAAGCTTCCTCGGAAATATTGGTCATAGGTATTGACCTCTCAGCTCTGATGGAGAAAATGATGTTGTCAGAAAAGTAAAAACCTATTAAATGTCATAAAGTCCTCCCAAGACCGCTTCACAGCATTGGAAATATGCAAGAAACCAGTTTTAGCAGCTGTTTACTCTCTCTGTATAGGTGCTGGAGTTGATCTCTTATCTGCTGCTGGCATTCGGTACTGCTCAAAAGATGCTGTCTTTCAAGTAAAAGAGGTTGATGTTGGTTTGGCCGCAGGAATATTGCAGAGGCTACCTAAAATCATTAATTCTGAGAGTTTAGCAAGGGAGTTGTGCTGCACTGCTCGAAAAATGCTTGCAGATGAAGCACTCAGCTGTGGATTGGTATCTAGTGTATTCTGGAGCAAAGATGAAATGATTGATGAGGTGATCAAAGTTGCAGAAACCATAGCTAAGACAAGCCCAGTAGCAGCTCAAGGCACCTAAAGGAGCATGGTATTCTCTAGAGATCATTCAGTTCAAGAGGGATCATGCTACAGAGTGAATATTTAGTCAAAGCAGCTTCTTCAGCAATGAGCGAGGATAATGATATTGTATTTTCTAAGCTGTGATAACTCTTGCCTTTGACGAGGGATGTCTTTTAAGTTTTGCATATAGAAACATAGTAGGCGGCGCGGATCGAACGTCAGTACCGAATCTTAACCCCACTCTTTAGTAAACTTAAATTCAAAGTTTCACAAAAATACGTGCAGTGTTCTCACTACAGTGACTTTTTAAGTGCCACCTAGTCATTAGAAAAATTGAACTCAACCGAGAACATTTTCACGCCATAATTTATTACAACTTTCAGAGACAATTATCGCAACAAGCGACCCCAGGGTGGATGCACCAAAGACGGTAATCACCTAGGAAAACGTCGATGCTGTACGCAAACTTATCATTGAAGATAGACTTGTGACATATCGCGAGATTGAGGAGTGCTTGAAGATCTCAAAGACTTCAATTCAAAAAATTTTACATGAAGAATTAGGAGTAAGAAAATTAGTTTCTCGTTGGATACCCCAACTGTTGACTGAAGAGCGGAAAGCAGCAAGGGTTATTTGGTGTTAGTGGTGATGAATCGTGGATTTACTGTTATGAACCAGAAAATAAACGACAGTCGGCTGTTTGGGTGTGCTGAGGTGAAGAAAAGCCAACAACAGCCATCCGTTCTCGAAGTGTTTCGAAAAAGATCGTCGCTACATTTGTGTCAAAAGCGGATCATATTGCAACAATTCCTCTTAATGAGCAAAGAACTGTTACTGCGGATTGGTCTACCACCATTTGTTGGCCAAAAGTCATCACCGAGCTTCGAAAAATCAACCCCGAAAGAAGAATCATCCTCCACCAAGACAATGCAAGCTCGCACACAGCCCAAAAAACAAGGCAGTATTTAACGGAAGAAAACGTGGAATTATTGGATCATCCCCCATATAGTCCCGATCTAAGACCTATCGATTTCTTTACTTCCCAGAAAATTAAAACAGACCGCGTGGTCAAGGGTTCCAGTCACCAGAAGAAGCAGTTGACGCATTCAAAAATGCGTGGAATGCGAGTGGAATAAGTGCTTCGAAAATTGGTTCGAGCACATGCAGATGTGTATTAATCTTCGTGGAGAATACTTCGAAAAACAATAAAGTCATTTAAAACTACCTACCGTGTTGTTTTATTTCCATATGCAAAACTTAGAAGACATCCCTCGTATTATTCACTATATAGGGAGTACTATATTATAAAATTAAATACCAGAGAGGTGTTAGATTTTGATCTGTAAAATTGTAATAGTCGCATAACTAGCAAATCTGTATTTCAAAAGGAAGTACTTGAATTTAATAAAATTAAAAAAATACTTTAAAAATACTCAAAATGCATAGTGATGTAATTTTAAGACATGAATGTAAAATAACAGAAAATGGATTGAATGAAATGTGGAAACGAATAATTTTACAAAATTGACATTGCAGCATTACTGCTACATAAATCTTTAACAAACAAACAAACAAATTAAGACACCACAGGAATAAAGTAGCGGAGGATACAATGGGAGACAAAAGCCTCGCGGGTTCATCTCGCAGGCTCAGCGTGGAGCGAAATCATAGATGTGAGTTCTGAAGAGCAGAGCCCGTTAACATAGAGGTAAAAGGAAGTCAGATCGCCGAGCGCCCACGGAAGCATACCCAGGCTGTCGGATAGCATCGAGTACGAACATCGTAGTCGGGCCGGCAGCACCCCAAAATTGTGAGCTGTGCTCAAGTGATGGTCTTACCTGTGGTATTTATTAGCCCCAGCTATTGCGACTGTGTTTGTGCCAAAGCAAGTTCTCGGTTATCTGAACTCCGACTAGGCGAAGTGAATTGCTTATTGTTGGTTGAGATACAGTACTGTGTTTTTTGGAAGGCCGCAGGATAGACATCTTCACTTTCCAGCATATGGCAAAAAAGGTATGTCTATAAGAATTCAAGAACTTTTTACATATTGATTTACTTTGCCATGAACAACAAGTGGCAAAATGGTCAGGTTTTTATGTTAAGCTTTGTGGTGGCTGCGTGTATTGTTAGGTGGTGGCAACTTTGAATGCAAATTCACGGTAGTTATATTTCAAAGCATAACAATTTTTAATGAGGCCTGTTGCAGGGTACTAACTGAGCTGTCAGTATTTTCACCTCCTATATACGAGGACGTGGTTTCATTAAATAGCCAGTATAACATAGAAATACATCAGCGAGACACAAACATAAACCTTAACCATAGTAATTGGGGTTGCAAATGATCTGAAAATATTTGTAGAGTGAATGAATGCAGCATGTTTAAGGAAATATTTGAAGCATATTGCAACATCGCATTTCCAGTTTTCT